TATACGTCTACAAGGATCCACACGTCACGAGTTGGGAAACAGACCAGTGAAGCTTGGGTTGGAGTTCACTTCAGAACACATCATCATCCATGAGAGAGTGACACCTCTCTGGGGCGGGACAAGTGGTAGACGTTTGCGTGATTGAGGTCGACTACCTGTGGTCCTGATCTTATATATTTGTGATCTGCAAGAGGTAAAGGACAGTGTGTGCTTTGACATTACGTTTATTTGTTTTTCTTTCCCCAAATAAATGCTTATAGGGGAGCAATTTGTGTAAGATACAGCTGTGGTGGCCTTTATATATAGAAGTATAACGAACCCAGGCCCTGTCTCATTGTACGACGCAGTCTAGCTTTGACCATAGCTACGTGGGACCAGGGTTACAATTAATCGTACTTTACGCCAAGGTTCCTGAAGCAAAATTACATCACCAGTGCAGCTCACATGCATGGTGTTTTTGCAGTGCAGTTTTTAGTCTAAACACAGGAGAAGTGCTCGACTATGGAAATGGGATGGGAATTGTTCCAAAGTACGGGAGCTTCTTGAACACACATTAGCAGAGTCTCATTAGAATACTGCTCTACCTTGTGTGGGTCACTTCTGTTCCAGTTGTATATCAAACAAGCTTGATCATTTTGCCACCTCATGACCCGATCCTTTGAAGTCTTCTCAGTCCCTGCTGTGGCTTTCATGTCACGTCATAAACAGAACACCCTGCTCTGCTGCTTTGAGCACAATTGACAACAGCTCCTCCCTGAAGGCAGATAATGTAACTTCCTCTGGTGTTGGTAACTTAAACACAGATAACCAAACTATCATCAGAGTCGGACAGCAGCAGAAGAAATAGGACAGACAGTAAGTCAGTTCATGCTTACATTTGCTTTCATTCCTCAGGCTTCCTGTCTTTTTATTTTAAAAGCTTCACCTTCTTATATCATTCCAAATAGTGTTAACCCTATAATGCCCTCTGTATCATATTTGGTACATGAGTTTCTGAGACATATATCTCATCAAATTGTTTCAAAATGTTATGGACAAAATTTTGTTAACAGCAATGTTAAATAAAAGTTGCAAAACTCCCCCCAATGTCTCACATGCGATACAAAAAATATATAATAAAAAATATATCATATATAACACGATCTAGCAAAAACAAGTTTGTGGATTTTGTTACAAGGGTTAACCTCTTAAGCCCCAAGCCTACCTGATCTCCTGCTTTTGCCCCCGTATCAGGGGGCGTTGGGGCTTAAGAGGTTAATAAACATCTCAGTTCCAAAGAATCAGGATTTTCTGGCTTTTTTTTCAAGGGTTAAGACTTGATCGTTTTCTAATTTTCACGTCATTCTGAATGTATTGTAAACGGTGTTTTCTTACATTTCTGTTTGTCAGACTTTCCTTTAAGCATTTGACACAAAGATGGAAAATACGACTGACTTGGATTACTACAGCGATTACACAGAAGCTGTACCATGCACCAGGGACAATGACAACAAACTGGGAGCGCTGCTGTCCATCCTTTACTACTTCATGTTTGCCTTCAGTGTCATTTGCAACGGGATAGTCCTCATCATCATTTGTCGGTAAGTTAGTCTAACAAAGCTGGATTATTTTGTTCTCTGCAGTGTTGGCATTAAATAAAAGATCTTGAATGACGGTCATTTTAAAATTTCTACTGATTTAACTCTTGAGACTTGTGACGGGTCGGTCACCCTCTCTCAACCTGCATAGACACCTGAGAACTGTCCACCCATCAGTGCAATGGGACGATAAAACACAGTCAGTTAATCAGTCAGTAATGAAGGTGCCAGCGTGTCTACTGCAACCGTTGCTGCTGCTTTTGCTGCAGTATCTACAGCATCATGCATATACCACCACAACCACCTAAACCAACCCAGAGCTCTATGAGACTCTGTGAGAACTCAGTGAATGAAGACCCGCCAATGATTGCACTTGATATCCAAGCGTTTTCAGTTGTGGATGATAAAGGATTCAGGAAGTTTATTCGTGCACTGAATTCTATTTTATATTGTTGTTGATAATAAATTAATTCAAGCAATAAAACAACTTATTGAGCCGCTCGGGAGCCGAAAGAGCCGGCTCTTTTTAGCGAGAGAGCCGGTTCTCTAAAACGAGCCGGAATTCCCATCCCTGCTGTGACTCACATTACTTTTAGGTGAAAATTTAAGCTGTAATTCCTAGGATGGTAATGCTGACTGATTTAGCAACACCTGTGGTCTATTCTGGTAAAGTTCTCGACTGGGTTCTTCATAAGATGTACGAGGGAAAAGAGTTCCCGTGTCTTAGAGTACAGCCACATTCAGCCTTTTCTTATTACACGAGTACTGTAGAGTTCATGAAAACAACAATGTAAAAATATGACAAGTCTGTGATGGTTATGATTCAGTGCAAGTTAAAAGTGGCTTGTTGCACCATTTCATGAAAGTTATAGGTGTGAAAATAAAATGAACCCAGTGGAGATGTCGGATCAGTCAGTCCTGAATCTGTGAACACGTCCATCTGAAAGGTGGGACATTCTGACCAATTAGGTACATAAATAGATCTAGCAGTGTAACTGATTTTAAGACAGTAAGATAAGAGATATATTCACTGTGTTAAAACAGCCAAACCAAAGCAAAATAAATAACTGTCTTAATAAACAATAACACTGTACAAAACATCTTGGAAAGTGAAAGATTTACACTAAAAAGGAGCTGACTTAAACATAAAATACAAAATAGAGCTCCCAGTAAATCAAAGCCTAAATACAATGTCAAACAAGAATGCAGGTATTTGCTGTACGAGGCTTTAAAGGCAAAGCGGCAGCTCTTTGTGTGAGTGGAAAAGTATTTAAATGTTTGTGAAGCGAGAAAGGAAAGGTAGCAAGAATAGACTAGTTTATAAGCCTATTAACTAGTAACCAGTATTAACCAGTATTACAGTTCTATCACTGTAAGGCCATAGTGCCAAATAACCATTGCTTATATCATTGAGTTAACATTTGATTGTGTACATAAGAACGTTTTGGCATTGTTGAGCTCAGCTGCAGCCTGAGTGGTGGTTAACATTTGGACAGCAAAAACTAATGAATGTAAAACCAAAACTCAAAGACGCAGACTATTTGCAAATCTCAAATTAGGTCAACAAACACCTGCAGGCCAAACGTGTTCAAGAACAGGCTGCGGCATAATTTACAATGGTGAAGTACACCAGTAAACAGCACTGAAACACTGAAACCTCAAGATTAACTCTAAAATGATTTCACCTGCCTGCTTTGTAGCAGAGGCTTACAGTGGAATCCAACAACAGCAACCAAACCAAATATATTAACCAGTCAAATTAAGCCGTCATAATTTTAATAGCTTTAAAAATTTGTGATAAGTGTGCCTTGCTCTTCTTTTAAATTTATGTTTTTAGTCAAAATCAGTAAAACGAAGAGTATTAGCCAACCTTTAGCTCTGTCAGCATGTATTTGGTGTCGTATTGTTTCCATACGTTCAGCAGTGTCACCTTTATTTATGTTCAGAGTTTTAATAATTTTTTGCCAAGATCTTTTGTTGGTGATGATGCACCTTTGACTACACGGTGGACCATCCATGCATGACAACATCTCATGCTCTCTAAAACACTTTTTCAGATCCATCCATCCGCTGATCCTTATCAGGGATAATGAATGATGACATTGTTGGGATATATCAGCGCCATCAGGGGAGGAAAAAGATTCAGTGATGGAAAACCTGATCTTTCCATATATTCAGTTAGTCAGCTCACCTGTGTGTATGCATCCATATGTCAACACATCTCTTCCTCCCAGGTGTTGACATTTTGTTGTGTTTTCACGAGAAACAGTGATCATTTTGATTCTTATCTCTTCAGAATATGCTGATCTCATTTTTGTTCGTCGATGAAAGTGGCATTACATTTCATCATAGTTTTTACTTAGTTATCGTTTTGTTTTCATCAGAAAAAAAAGGTTGTTAACAAAAATGATCAATGAAACTAACGCTGGTGCAGTAGCTTGACAAAACCTCAAACCCCAGTCAGAGATAAGGGCTAAGTAAGTTTCCTGCTTCAGGCTCTGTGCAAATGCACGTAGGAAGGGGGATTTCAATCCATCCCACTTACTCCAGTCAGTGACAATTTCTGAAGCTGAAGAAAAATACATTTTATTAATAAAAATAAAATGAATAAAGAACATAACAGCCTTAAAATTCAGCATTGTTTCTATAACGCAAAATATTGCACCTGAATAGAGTTATTCATCTCTGTGATGCTGTTTATTTCCAACATGATAGTTGCACATCGCAGCTCTGAAACTTTAAACTAGATACATTAAAGGATACTGTCCCATAGCCTAATTAAGATAATGTGAAAAACCACTTTAGTGTGTTTACTGTGTTCTACTAGCTGCAGTTCCAGCACCGTTACATAAGACATAGCAACAGATTACAATCAAGTATAAAAGACATTTATATAGTTTCTGCATACCAACTGAGTATATCTTATATAGATATGCACAGTTTGCAGTAACTCTACAGCTGGGCCTGTTTCATGATGTTACTGAGATACAGCTTAATGACTTGCACATATAAAATACAGTCTTCCAGTAGAGAATCTACACTGGCCTGAAAACATGTTTAGAATTGGTGAAAACATGACACTGACAGCTAATTTTAAGCTAAAGCTTTGAACAAAACCACCTACTAAGATTACGTGCGTTATCTTTACCATGGTGAAGGTTCTGAGGTAAAAAGACAACAGTTTTCATGACTAGTGGTTTTTGCTGAGTCTAAACTCACTTTGTGTTTCTCTTTCCAACTGATGCAACACGATAAAAGCCAGGTTTGTATGGCAGGCACTAGATGCAATACTTCTTACGCTGATGTGCTCAAAATTCTGAAAAAGGGTAAAGCTGAACTCAAATGGCATGACCTTTTTCCATCGTAGAGTTCTGAGAAATCTACAAAGTTTTAATAGAACTAGTTTGCAGTAGACAGAGTTAATTGATTAACCATCCACCTCTGTAGTGTACCCCACCTCTTGTCATATGTCATCTGAGACGCGCTCCAGGTCCCTTGCTTTGTTCGTCACACCTGCATTGAGTCAGTTAATCACTGACCCTTGTGTATGTTCATATGTGCAGCAGTATCCCCAGTCTTCAGATTGTCTCTGTACTCACACTTTCCAGTGCCTCCTACTGTTGCTTCTTTTTGATTTCCTGTTTATGACTGCAGCTTGTACTTGACTTCTGCTCTTTGACTCGTTTGCATCAAGTGTGTCATTACTTTGGTTTTTTAGGATTTTTGTATTGTTTTGTTGTTTTTAGTGCTTTGTTTAATGCCACAAATGGCCTGCAGGTCTTCTTTGAGTATTAAACTCTGGAGTTTTGTTCTGCGTTTAGCTTGAACTCTTCATTTCATCGTGATCAGTGAACTGTGGTACATGCTGAGATTTGATTTTCACCCAGGTGTCATCCACGTACTTGAACCAATGACTTGAGTCATTGGTTCAGTCATTGGTTCTTCATGTACAAGTTGGCCACAATGGGTGAAACTGGGGAATCCTTGGCACACCCATGTTTCTGCCTGAAGTTCATAAGAATCTTTGCTACTGACCGGTGACAATGTTTTTCTTGTGATACTCTTTCTGGTTTAGCAAAGCCATGCATCTACTCCTGTCTGCCAGAAGGATGATAATGTTGTTATCGGTTTTCTAATATAACATAACAATACATTTTAAAAGCGCCAATGGCGGAGGAGCATGTTGAAAGAGTTTGAAATATTACTCTTTCTGGGTCACAAAATAAACTTTCAAGACATTTTCTTACTGAGGGTACATCTGTGGACTCTCTAACATGCTTGTCAGGGGCACAGCAGCAGAAGCTTAGAAGGTGCTGTCCTACCAAGAAGTCAATGTACTTTCCACTAATTATATTTGTGCATTCCAAAATATTATTTTATAATTTAATATCTTTGCTCAGACTCCATGGTAATGATGACATCCAGAAATGCCACTGGTTTTAAAGATGTGCTGATTTACTTCACTGAAGGTTCCACTGATCTCCGTTACCTGGAAAACATCTGAGGTTAGATTGTTTCATGATGACTGACCTGTGAATCTTTTTATGTTGACTGCTTTCTAGGTTTGATCAGCTGACCACTGTGACCAACATCTTGCTGCTGAACCTTGTGATGTCCTCCCTGATCTTCATGATCAGCCTTCCTTTCATGGCAGTCTACATGCAGCTCTCTAACTGGATCTTTGGCGAAGTTATGTGCAAGATTGTTAGTACTGTCTACTATCTGGGTTTTTACAGCTCTGTACTCTTTCTAGCCCTTCTGACCTTTGATCGGTACCTTGCAATTCTGTACCCGTTGAATGACTCACAAGTGAGAAATCGAAAGTATGCAGGAATCTCCTGCACTGTTGTGTGGCTAGTCAGTGGGTTAGCATGTATCAGACCAATGATTATCTATAGTAGTTTCTTTTCTAGTCTTGATAACAAAACTTTTTGTGAGGAGTACCCTCGAAACCTTACCTATGTCGATATGGACAAGCTGAGAAAATCTGGGTTTTACCTTCAGCTGAGTGTTTTCTTGATTTTCCCACTGATTGTTATTTTCTACTGCTACAGTAGGATTGCAATCACTGTTATGTCATCCAGGATTGCAAGCAAATTCAAGACAGTCAGGCTCATCTTCATCATTGTGCTATTGTTTTTCATGTGCTGGACTCCTTTCAACGTTGTACACTTGATGAACATTAACAATGAAGTTAAGAGTGAGTGTGAGGACAAACAGAAACTGGGTTATGCACTTCAAATTACTCGCACCATTGCCTACTTTTACTTTTGTATCAGTCCTGTATTCTATACTTTTGTTGGGAAGAAATTCCAGAACCACTTCAGGCATCTGCTGGTGAAACACTTCCCAAAGTTAAAGAGGCATATGTCTGTTAGTCAAAACAGCAGAAGCTACGTGAACACAAAAACGACACCAAATGATTATAGGGATATTTAGCGAACCAGCTTACGGCCATACCACCCTGAGCACTCCTCTGATTTCACAAGCTAAGCAAGGTTGGGCTTGGTTAGTGCTTGGATGGGAGACTGCCTGGGAAAAACAGGTCAGCCCGGGCACCACGGCACAGTGGTTAGCACTGTTGCCGCACGGCAAGAAGATCCTGAGTTCAGTTCCACCAGGATCCTTGCGTGTGGAGTTTGCATGTTCTCCCCGGGTACTCCCGCTTCCACCACAGACCAGAGACATGCAATTAGTGGGGATAGGTTAATTGGAAGCACTAAATTGCCCATAGGTGTGAATGTGAGTGCAATTGGTTGTGTCCTGTCTCTGTGTTAGCCCTGTGACCTGTCCAGGGTGTACCCTGCCTCTCGCCCTACGACAGCTGGGATAGGCCGTGACCCTGAAAAGGATAAGCAGAAGTGAATGGATGAACGAGCAAGTCATGGTTTTACAACCAACTGAAGGAAGGGATGAGTTCATCAAGAGTGAAACTTTCGGTTTCCAGGAACTAGCGTCTAGGACTCAAACTTCTATATCTTCATTATTCGAGCCAAAGTCCTTAAACCAAAAATCTAATTGCAGAAGATTTTGAAATTTTATTTCATGTAGCTCCTGGTGTACAAATTGTCTGCTATCAACCACAAACCTAGTTTGCCACCAAGTTATGTAACAAATGATATTGTCCCTAAGGAAAATATTTGTTCTCTGTATATTCTGTACATAGCCTTATGAAAGATGGTATATAAGCTTTAAAAGGTTTATTTTTGTTTTATTCTGACCATGGCTGCCCTCTTATGGTCAGAGTTCAGCTCCATCACTGATGAAGCTGAGAAACTTCAGCTTTGAGAACTATAAATACTGGATTTATATTTAAGAGCAACATATTGACAGATCTTTACTTGTTACAGAAAAAGACTTTGCAAGAGTGCATTCAGAAAGTAAAATTTAAGTAGGAATGAACAAATGAACACATGACTGTAGAATAAGAGATGATCCAAAAATCTGTTACATTTAAAAAAAAGTAATCTATAGATATTATATTACATTACAACCTCACAATAGTTTTAAATAATGAGGTACGTTATGTAGAAATAACCTATTCGAGGTCAGCCTTCAGACTGATCTAAACACACTGATTATGGTTTTTCTCTACACCGGGCTATTTGATGTTTTTGATTTGGTCATCTCAGGCACAACGCTCTCGCGGAGGCCCCACCCACCTGGTGGTTTTCATTGTTGTTATTTTCATGTCAAGAGAAAGCCAATCAGTGTGTATAAAATTATTCATTTTTGTCAATTTATTCAGTTTTAGAACCAAATTTAGAATGAAAGGAAACAGATTGTAGTTAGAAAGGGTAATTAATGGATACTTAATGTTCATTTCTTTTGTATTAGTAAACACAACGTACTTAAGTAAAGAAACCTGTTTATGACCATGCATTTCTTCATGTTGTTCTGCACATAATAAACTTCACTTCCAAACATTTTTAAATTGCTGATGTGATTTTTTTACAAGCAGTATACATCAGCGGTGTGTGGTGAGTTTTACAGAAAGTTTATCAGAGACGATCCCCTCTTCTCCTGATTCACACAGCTTCAACAGCTTCCTTCACTATATCAGATTAAAACATAGTTTGTACTGCTTATCTGAAATAGACATCGACAGCTTCACCTTTCTGCTCTCCTATCCTGGCTGAAGAATTGTAAATATTAAAATTTTTAATATAAAAATTTAAAAAATATATTGGTTAAGAACCCGTGTGTTTGAAAAAACTGTTGTTCATATGGTCAGTAACACAGGCCTACAGCTTGATTGTTTTGAAATCTATTTCAAAACAAACCCTTTCAATATCTACAGGTATGATTAAAAATATTAATCGGAGTATAGTAGAGTGCTGGTGAAACAGCTGTTTAAAGGTATTAGATTTAGACACTCTCATTGGTTTCTAATCTGAAAATGCAGCTGGACCTGCACCTGGTTAGCTGCTGTCCACTCTCCATTATTGTCAAAGTTTTTGTTTTTTTCATGGTACAAATTTCATTCATGTCTATTATTAGTTTTGACAAGGAAGCAGTGCTGGCCTTGCTTGTCCTGACGAAACATCACTGCCATACATACAATATCTACAATGCTAGCATCACGTTTCCCATACTCACTTGGGAAATCTCCGTTAGCAAGTTAACGCGGATCGCCCCATGCGAGGGGCTGTACGGCGTCAACGTGTTAGTGCTGTTAGCTCGTTAGCACAGTTAGCTCGTTAACGTGTTAGAGCCATGCAGCCCCTCCATGCAAGACACTCCTTTTCTACAGTGGAGTATCTAGATTCTTTTTCCTGAATCTTCCTGCTGAGGCAAACAACTGAACGCCTTTCG